CATTTGATAACCAAGGTTCTGATTATAGTTCTGCGCCGACTGAAAGTGATAATGGTGGTGGTAGTGGCAATGATGATGATGGTGGTGGTGGTGGTGGTGGTGGAGGTCATCGGGTTGCTAGTCTAACCCAAATTTATGGTTATAGTTGATCCATAACCTTAAGGTCGAGAATCACGGCGTGAAAAAAAATCAAGCAGAAATACGAGAATTTGGTATGAATATGAAGATTTCTCGTCTAGTGTTATGCAGAGTTTGAGTGATCTCACCCTTAGTGATTCATCATATGGTAGTGATAATGAAAACTATCAATCATCAGGCTATCCAGCTGAAAATTATAGACCCTACTCTTATAGTTATTCTCCTCGACACTATCCTCCACCGTTACATCCCCAAGATAATTATTTAGGGCTTTTGAACCCTAACAATTACTTGACATTGCATACTTATAGAGAACAATCACGAGAAGATGGAGTTGAATTTAGAATATTTACTTATATGTTGCCCACGGGATGGAATGATGATAGTGGTAGCAACCAAGATCAATCTCAATCTCAAAGTTTGGATCCTCCGGGTCGTTCTTTTTGGTGATGAGATTGTTGAAAGGTAATGCTATTGCTTTCTCTTTTTTATTGTATCGAACAATTCTAAAAATCATTTTGGTTTTATCAATATATTTCATTTAATAAATTTTTAGATTTGTAATTGTGTATTTTATTTGTTCAATTGTTGCTAATGGAAAGGTCACTGATGCATAGTAACTTAAAAAATATTATTAATACTTATAATATTTTATTATCATATTTATGATATAATAAAATGCACTAAATCACTAAACACCCATATTTGCATGATTTTAAGTTGAAACATGTAAATATTTGTGTTTTATGGCAGATTGTGAGTTGAAAAAAAAAATTCACGCATTCGATTTCCGTTACCATTATGTAACGTCCGTTTCACCCTGCGTCCGTTACAACGTTATCGTTACCGTTACGGTGACCGTTACCATTATTCAGAACCATGACAACAGCAGTGCCATCACCGACGCCAAGAAGAACTTATTTTCAAGCAAGGTCGGTCTAGCCCAAATGCTCAGAGGTGGAGCGATTGTCGAAGTCACGAGTGCTGAACAAGCCAAGATCGCCGAGTCTGCCGGAGCTTGCTGCATCATCGTAATAGAGCAAGTCTAAGGTGGTATTTCGCGAATGCCGGATCCAGCTCTCATCAAAGAAATCAAAAGATTCGTCTCAATTCCCTTAATGGTGAAAGTCCGAGTTGGGCATTTCGTTGAATCCCAAATCCTCGAAGCCATCGGTGTTGATTACGTCGACGAGAGCGAGCTTCTTGCCATTGCTGATGAAGATCATTTCATTAATAAACATAATTTACGGGTTCCATTCGTTTGTGGGTGTCGAGATCTTAGAGAGGCCTTGCGGAGAGTGAGAGAAGGAGCCTCTATGATAAGGACTCAGGGTCGGCCCAACAGTAGGTGTAAAAAAGCTTGGGCTTTAGGCTCCATTTCAAATGAAGGCCCCAAATTTTTAAATATTGTAAATAATCCATGTAAAAAAACGTCTTATAAAAATATAAGCCCAACAACAATTTTAGGCCCATAATTCAATCCAAACATTAAATATCTAAAAAAAATTAACAATACAAAAAAAAAAAACTAAATGGTCATATCAAAAGCCACCAAAATAATCTAAAAGTCAAATCATATCTACTTTTTAACTCTCTCTCTCTCTCGGTAAACCAACCAAATCAACTATACATAAATAATTCTCTCTCTCTCTCTCGATAACCCAACCAAACCAACTATGCATAAATAATTTTTTTTTCTAACTCTTCTTCTTCCCTCTATCTGACTCTCTCTCTTACAGTGCTCTCAAACTTGAGAACTCAAAGTCACAGAACTCGTTAGTCGTTACTCAGATAATTTTTTTTTTGTCATGTGCTACAACGTAGCTACGGAGAACTCACAAATCACTCATGTGATTGACTCGGTGACGGTGACTCGGCCTCTCCTCCATCCTCCATCATCAACTCGAGTTTTCATTGCAACATAAGAGACATGGTTTAAAACCAAAAAATCAACATTTGAGATCATTCAAGTCAGGTTCTATTGTTTTATAATTTTAAATTTTTTTGTTATATATTTTTAACTATACTATATATTGTGTTTGTTTTATAGTTATAACATATTAATAATATGGCACCTAGAAGACAACCAAGTGGATACGAAAAATTAAAAAAAAAAAATAGATCAACTAATAAAATCTCAAAAAAGGATCTCTTGAAAAATTTGTTATTAGTAACAAAAATAATGTAACAAAAAATTTAGATGAAAATTTTGAAAATGAACAAGTAGATAATGAAATAGAAGAGAATAAAATAAAAAATATTGAAATAGAAAATATTGAAATAAAAGATAATAAAATATAAGATAATGAAATAAAAAATATTGAAGTTGAAAATATTGAAATAAAAGTTAATAAAATAGAAGATAATGAAATAGAAAATATTGAAAAAGTAAATAGTGAAATAAAAGATAATGAAATAGAAGACAATCAAAATCTTAATGAAAAAAGTAATTATAGTCATATAAATATTTATGATCCAAGTCAATGAAAAAATATTGATACGAAATTAAGAGATTTATTAGTAAAAAATGGTCCAATTAGATATAATAATTTAGATTTTCCTAGAGATGAACACTCTAAATATTTTTCTATTACACATTATATTCGCAAATTAACAAATGGGGAAACACTTGATAGAAAATGGCTAGTATATTCAAAAGATTTGGATAAAATATTTTATTTTTGTATCAAGTTATTCAATATGAATTATTCTACAAGTAAACTAGCTAATGAAGGAATAAAAGATTGGAGAAATATTGGTGTTAAACTTAAAAATCATGAAATAACTAATGAGAATATAACTAATATGAATACTTGGATTGAATTAGAAACAAGATTGCAACTAAATAAAACAATTGATAAAAGTATTCAATAAGAAATTAATAGAGAGAAAGAATATTGACAAAATGTATTAGTAAGAATTATTGTCGTTGTAAAGAATCTTGGTAAAAATAATTTAGCTTTTCGGAAAAAAAATGAAAAGATATATCAAGTAAATAATGACAATTTTTTAAGTTTAATTGAAATGATTGCAGAATTTGATCCGATAATGCAAGAATACGTTCGTTGTATTCAACAAGATATAATTCATAACCATTATCTTGGACATAACATAAAAAAATGAATTGATAAGTTTATTAGGAAATGAAGTAAGAAGCAATATTATTAAAAAGTTAAAAAAGTAAAATATTATTCAATCATACTTGATTATACTCTCGATGCAAGTCATCAAGAACAAATGTCTCTCATATTACGATGCGTAGATATTATAATAAGTCCAATAAAAATAGAAAAATATTTTTTAGAGTTTATTAAAGTAGATGATACGAGTGAAAAATGTTTATTTGATAAACTTATAGATGTAATAAGTAATCTTGAACTAGATATTAATGATGTACAAGGACAATGATATGATAATGAGTCTAATATGAAAGGAAAACATCAAGGTATACAAAAAAGGCTACTCAATATAAATCCTAGAGCATTTTACACACCATGTGATTGTCATAATTTAAATCTAGTACTTTGTGATATGACTAACTCTTGTCTTAAGGTTATATCATTTTTTGGAATAGTACAACGTATATATTCATTATTTTCCTCTTCCACAAAACGATGAAAAATTTTACAAGATAATATTTAAGGTTTAACTCTTAAGTCATTATCACAAACACGTTGGGAAAGTCGTGTTGAAAGTGTTAAAACAATAAGATTTCAAGCTCCAAAAATAAGAGATGCATTATTACAATTAGCGGAAATTAGTGAAGATCCTAAAACAAGGAGTGAAGCTAATTGTTTAGCAACATATGAGATTGAGAATTTTGAATTCTTATTGGGCATGACTATTTGGTATAATATTTTATTTTTTATCAACTGTTAATAAATATTTACAATCAAAAGACATGCATATTGATATTGTTATAGATCCATTAAATGGTCTAATTTCTTTTTTCAAAAAATATAAGGAAAGTGAATTTATAAATGTTATGATTTCATCTAAAGAGATTGCATGTGAAATGGGTATAGAACCTATATTTTGTGAAAAACGTAGAGTTTATAGAAAAAAATAATTTAATGAAAATGTTGATAATGAGGAAACACAATTTATTGAACAATCATTTAGAATTGATTATTTTACATATATAATTAATTAAGCTATTTCTTCACTAAAAAACATATTTGAACAATTACAAAAGTACGAAAATATTTTTGATTTTTTATTTAACTTAGAAAAATTAAAATCATTGACCAATGATAGTTTAAAATAAATATTGTTTGGATCTCGAATGCTTCTTAAAACATGAAATTTTTTTCGATATTGATGACTTAGATTTATTTTTAGAACTAAATGTTTTAAAAGAAATTTTATAAACGAAAGAAAATACTCTAATTGATATACTAAATTATATAAAAAAGTTAGATTCTTTTCCAAATCCATGCATTGTTTATAGAATATTATTAACAATTTATGTAACAGTTGCTTCTGCGAAATTTTTTTTTTTAAAATTAAAATTGATAAAATCTTATTTAAGATCAATTATATCACAAGAAAGATTAACTGGATTAGTGATGCTATCAATTGAAAGAGATATGGTTGCAAAACTTGAATATAAAATCTTAATTAATACTTTTGTAACTCAAAAAGTAAGAAAAATTAATTTTAAATAAAAAATATTAACACTAAACATAGAATGCCTCATTTAAAAGTATCGCCTTGGACCCCAAATTATCTTGAGCCACCCTGTAAGAACTCAAGGAGATCTATTCGGTACAGGCAACATAGCGGAGACGGTTCACAATGTTTAAAAAAGAAGATGAAGTGTTTGCGTTTTCAAAGAAAATCTTGTCACTCAAACCAAGCAAATGGGTAGGCTTCCAGTAGTGCATTTTGCTGCGGGAGAGGTTATGACGCCAGCAGATGCGGCAATTATGATGCAATTGGGGTGCGATGGAGTGTTTGATGGATTGGAAATTTTCAAAAGTTCGGATCCTTATAAGAGAGTTCATGCAATTGTGCAAGCTGTTAGAAACTATAATGATCCACATGTGTTGGCGGAGATAAGCAGCGGGTTGGAGTATGCCATGGCGGGGCTTAATCTCAGTGAGGACAGGGTCGAACAGTTTGGTACTGGAGGTACCTATTGATCGAAGTTTTGTCAACTCTAATTTGTATGATTTGTTAAATTTTCAGTCTATTACTGTAGTAGAGATGTCTTATTTCAGTGTTGAGGTTGTTCTTTTAACACGAAAATATCTAATATTATCTCTATGGAGGACGTTGTAAATTGATTTGGCAAAGTATTTGGGATTAATTGTTCTAACTACACATATGCATAAGAAAATTACAACTCGTGCATGGGTTCACACAATTATTCAATCATTTGAAAATTATTTAACACGGTTATGACTAAGGGATGTTGGAATAGACATTACAGAGCCTTTTTTTTTTTATGAGGCTGTAATGTGAATGAGTTATAAATTCAAAAGAAGCAAAAAATAATAATCTCAAATTGATAAAGAAAATATTTATAATACAATGTAAAAAAGAAAAGAAATATAAGAGATTAATCTTTATTTTTTATTTCATATGTGTCAATTTATTACATAATTATCATAACCGAACTGGAAATTTGGTAATTTATTAATTTTATTCGGAAGCAAAAAATAAATCTCAAATAAATAGAGAAAAAATATGGAATTCCACGTTAAAAAAAATGGGAGATTAATATTTAATTTTTTTAAAGTTCAGATATGGCCCCACTGTAATAATTCAGTCGGCCGGTCGCAGGTTGGGAATATGACCCTTGATGCTTGAGTTTCATTTACATACGGTCTACTCAATACTTTTGCAGGAACCTGGATGATTCCTAAAAATAGCTAGTATTTAATGACATCATCCACACCGTTTTTGATGTTTTTTTTTTTTTATTATTATTATTATTTTAAAATATGCTTAAGATTGTATAGATTATTTTTTTGATTATTCACATTATACCATATTTTTAAACACAAATTATTCTTAATATTTTAGTGCAATATCATCGTCTAGAAGAAGTGTGTAATCCTCCTCCAGTCCCCACAACTCTCTTTTTGATTGGGAATCTATTTCGAGAGATATATGCAGCCTCTCTTGGAGTTCATTAGCTCATCGACCAAAGTGGGGTATTAACTTTTGATACTAAATTTTTTTATTGACCATTAGGAAAGTAGAGGTGTCACCATGGTTTGTTTGCATGCTGGTCAAAGAATGACATATATTAGTTCATTATTTTTGCCAAAAGCAGCAATGACTTGGAAGATCTCCGAATAATCTTTTATATTTTATATTTTCATCTTGTATTTTTTTCACTTTCACATAATTTTTAATATTTTGATATCTTCGGTAGAGTTATCGACATTTCTATTATCATTACCAACAAATTCACAAATTTTCAGTTTTCGACAACAAATCAAGCACCGACTAACTTGCAATGAGAGATTTGGGGTCAAGAGTATCGACAGAGTTGGATTTAATTGGTGAATTGACTGAAAATATATGTGAGTTTTTTTAATTATTGATAAGTTATCAGGATAAAATGAGAATTTTTTAAAATATTTGAGTTTCTCTATTCGAGTAGTACGTACTAAATCAAATTTTTTATTCAAATTAAAATAAAAAATTGAGATGCTCTTCGTCAATGTTTTCAAGTGTATGAGATTTAGTGTAAGTTTGGATTAATGTAACTCTATGCTTCCCACTTATAGTTAGCTTACGTCCTCATTACTGTTAATTTCCGGAACTTTCTACGCTTTCCAATACAAAAGCATCCTTTTTTCCTTTTTCTTTTATGAGATATTCAGAACCAATCGAGTAGCCCCGCGGAAGCTTCTGGAACTGCCCAAACACTACACCTTTCCATCGCTTCGACGTCCGTTGTATATTCTCCTTCACGTTATATAAACACATTCAAAGCCTTGAACCAGCTCAAACAAACACATTTATATCAAGCTTTTGATCCATTTAGCTCACAACTTCATTCAGGCATTTTCACAAACAATTGGCAATGGCTGACGAAGGTACGGTTACAGTCTACAACAGCAGTGCCATCACCGACGCCAAGAAGAACTTATTTTCAAGCAAGGTCGGTCTAGCCCAAATGCTCAGAGGTGGAGCGATTGTCGAAGTCACGAGTGCCGAACAAGCCAAGATCGCCGAGTCTGCCGGAGCTTGCTGCATCGTCGTAACAGAGCAAGTCCAAGGTGGTATTTCGCGAATGCCGGATCCAGCTCTCATCAAAGAAATCAAAAGATCCGTCTCAATTCCCTTAATGGCGAAAGTCCGAGTTGGGCATTTCGTTGAATCCCAAATTCTCGAAGCCATCGGTGTTGATTACGTCGATGAGAGCGAGCTTCTTGCCATTGCTGATGAAGATCATTTCATCAATAAACATAATTTACGGGTCCCATTCGTTTGTGGGTGTCGAGATCTTGGAGAGGCCTTGCGGAGAGTGAGAGAAGGAGCCGCTATGATAAGGACTCAAGGAGATCTATTGGGTACAGGCAACATAGTGGAGACGGTTCGCAATGTGAGGAAAGTAATGGCGGATATAAGGATTTTGAATAACATGGATGAAGATGAAGTGTTTGCGTTTTCGAAGAAGATAGCAGCGCCTTACGATCTTGTCGCTCAAACCAAGCAAATGGGTAGGCTTCCAGTAGTCCATTTTGCTGCGGGAGGGGTTATGACGCCAGCAGATGCGGCAATTATGATGCAATTGGGGTGCGATGGAGTGTTTGTTGGATCGGAAAATTTCAATAGTTCGGATCCTTATAAGAGAGCTCATGCAATTGTGCAGGCTGTTAGAAACTATAATGATCCACATGCGTTGGCGGAGATGAGCAGCGGGTTGGAGTATGCCATGGCGGGCCTTAATCTCAGTGAGGACAGGGTCGAACAGTTTGGTACTGGAGGTACCAATTGATCGAAGTTTTGTCAACTCTAATTTGTATGATCTGTTAAATTTCCAGTCTATAACTGTAGTAGAGATGTCCTGTTTCAGCATTGAGGTTGTTCTGTTGAGGTTGTTCTTTTAACACGAATATATCTGATATTATCTTTCTGGAGGACGTAGTAAATTGATTTGGCAAAATGTTTGGGATTAATTGTTCTAATTACACATATGCATAAGAAAATTATGACTCATGAATGTGTTCACACGATTATTCAATCATTTGGTAATTATTTAACATGGTTGTGACTAAGGGATGTTGGAATAGACATTACAAAGCTTTTTTCTTATGATGCTGATTTACTAACTCAATCTATGTGCCGTATGAGCTATGAATTAAGCAAAGCATAACTTGTTTCATCTGCGCAAAAATCCTACTTAATCATCTTCAGCGATTTCTTTTGCTCAAGTGTTGATGTGTCTGAAAGTGAGATGGTGATATCGAGAAGCCAGTCATCTAGAATTTAATGTGGGTTTTGTTTCAAATTATTGGAGTGGAGCTTTTCCACTAGCCGCCTAGATGATGCACATAAGGACCCTTTCTTCTAGAATGGGTTTTTCTGTTGAATTGTTGGTTCTCTTTACCATGGAATGAGTATGATGTATGGTTTGCGTGAATCTGAGTCTGTCTGCATTAAAAGAAATGAGAAAAGAAATTTGTCAATGTATTTGGTAAGGAACGTGAACTGATATATCTAGTCATATGGATATGAACAAGACTTTTTGAGCATTATCTATTCAATTCATTGATAGTTTTCGATGCTATTACAACAGAAATAGGTGCCAGAAATCTAATTCTCTCAATATGTTCATCTCTCTTTGGGTTCAGTTGGTGCTAGGATTTTAAAGATCAAGAGACCATCTTTTATTAAAGCCAATAATCCAGTCTTCTTGTCTACAATGTTTTGTTCAGTCATTGTCACTGATTGCTGATGTCTCGGCACAGGAATTGTAACTGTAATGACAACGAATAGCCAATCATATTTTTTAAGTGGTGTTTAAGATATAACCAACTGCCATATGGTATAGGGGGCTATGTTAGCCACTTCAATGGGAAGGGACTAACTTCTTCTATACTGCATTTCTCCTATTGATTGGTTGCTTGACTGTTGTTGAATAGGCACCTTAGAGCTGTTTCATAAGCTGTAAAAATAGCCCCATTGACAACAAAAGCTCTGGCAACTGCGGTTCCCAATCCGCGCCACAGGACATGATATCCCTCCTCTCGCACAATCCGATTAAAGCAATCAACAATGCCACCATAATTTGATGGAGAATATTGTGACTGAGCCTGGATTCTGGTCTTTATTACATCCAAAGGATAACAGCAAATCCAGCTTGCAACTCCTGCTAAACCTCCTGCAATAAGCATTGTTCTGAAGCTCTCCTGGCCACTTTTTCTGCATCCTGGGTGAAGTTGCTCTCTCATGTACTCGTATGTCCAGAAGTACAAGCCATGAGCAGGTGCATCTCTGAGCACAGTGATTGTAAAACCTCGGTAAATACCCCTCCAACCTTCTGTCCTATATATGCTTCTGGCGACACTTACTGGACCTTTGAGACTATTTGCTTGAGTTTTCTTCTGTAATTGGAGGTGGATTTTAATTAGTTCAACAGGGCTGAGCATCAAGCTTTGTATTGCCCCTGTTCCAATTCCTCCCAGAGCAACCCCTTTGTAAGAAGGAGGGTCTGTTGTGCGGACTGATGTGTCAAAAACCCGTGACAGGACAGCATAAATCTGAAATGCCATGGCATTCTGCAGAACCAAACAGAGAAAGTGATCATGGCTCAAACAATTGAATAGAACTTTAGCACCTGGATGCTTAAACTGCAGTAATGAGAAATGAGGTATCTTTCCATTCCGCAAGACTAATGAGAAATTGATGATTTCTTTTATCATACAACACTGCAAGACTGCATGCTTCATAGAGTTCCAGCATATTCTCAATCTCTACGCACCAGACCCTCACACACACACAAGGACATAGACAAACACCAATATGCATCTACTTATGCAACATTTTGATGCGATGCTATAATTTTTGAACAGCATAGTCTGATGGAATTTAATCTATGTGAATGCCCTATATTAAGTGGTCAGGTGTACAAGGTAAGATTAAATATTAACTGAGAGTCTCGTACATTAGATTGTTTTTTTTTTTGGAGCCTGATATCAAGTTGGGTATCTTTTCTACCATTTCCACAATACTGAAATTGAGGGCTTGAAAGATCATAGATGAAAAAAACCTGAAAAGTGACAGAGGCAAGTGGTGCAGCCATGCCTCTGTAGAGTGCAAGAGGTCCCTCACTGGAGACAACATTGCGAAGGATTCTGATGGCGGAATCAGTACTGGTCGGTTGCTGTTGCCGGATCCTGAGGGTATCAAGAGGATAACCGGCTATGATGCCGGCTGTGCCGCCAAATCCTCCGGCCACAAATTCTTTTCCCCAGCTGCTTGCAAGAAACTCCGGCCAAAAATCCATCTGCTCTTGGTCTCTGTATCATTCCCCAGTGTAATCAACTGAAATCTATTTATATATTCTTCACAGAATCAAATCCATCCTTCCCTAATTCCTATATCTGCCTCTACGATGAAGTATCAGTCAAAAACTCTCTTTTCTTTCCTTGTATGGACATAGATCAACTCATAAAACTCTCTCTCTGTCTCTCTCCGTGACACAAACACACACACAGACAAAATAAAGCATACAAGGCTAGAGATTTAGGATGATCACGGATTTCCTTCTTTGGTTCTCTCTCTGTTCTTTGTACTCGACACAACTTGTTTTTTCCGTGCAAGCAAGGATGAGGAGAGAGAGAGAGGGGATTAATAGAGAGCTCCAGAGAGCATGACCTTGGAAAGGAACCGAAACAGAAGCCACCAAATTTGGTTGGGTATGGAGCCTGAGAGGAAACGGCCAACGTCCTGTTTCCCGCTAAGCACAAGGAAAATGCCACGTGGACCACTACATATCTAGTGGGTGCTTTGAGCCTAGTGTTATACCCAACTTTTCAGGTCCCCAAAAAAACTCCTTTCAGTGAACTAGTGGGTGCGCCAATGACGCGAGCCACAGGGGTCTGACCAATCATGGGTTTGGGTTTGTTTGGATTCATCCGAAATGGGTCCCACAGGGAGAGGGGTGCTTGTGAATTTTCGTCTGTGACTAAGATTCCATTGTTGTTGAAAGATTCTAACTTTAGTGCGTTTGATTTTGTTGTTAATGGTGATATGTTTTTGTTAGGCAGTAACACCTTTGACATCATCTAACTTCTTTTTTGAAACTGAACTCTAGTGGCCTATGTTGAAAAAATGCCATACACACTAGACTCCTTGCCCATGTTTTAAATACTTCTAGAATTAAATTACACTTTTAAATAAAAAATATGATGGGTGGTGATGTGGTATTAATGTTATTGCATTGATGCACGCATTAGATAATCTCAAATTTAATTTAAGTAAAAAAACTTAAAAAACTTACTCTAATCTTTGACTAAAATTTCTACTAAATTAAGAGAGATTCATTTTTTTACTCAAATTAAGAAAGATTCAAATTATTATCTAAATTTTTAATCAATTAACTTTAATCTTATCTAAACCGTCCTTTTATTTATCTAAGTTGAAAATTTTGAAATTAGTTATGTTTTATTATTATAGATCTTCTCATAAAATAT